CCACCTCTGTGGCAGACCAACAGATGGATTGCAGCCATACTAATCTCTTTCAGAATGCTGTGTGAGTGATTACTGCTTCCATTCAGCTATTCACTTCAAAGTTATAAATGCTAAGATGTACAAGCAGCACTTTACAAGACATAACACAAGTACTGGCCCATATAAAACTAATGCACTGATGTCACATAATCCATAAAGTCATCCCTGAATGGCACAGTAGTGCATCTGACTTCATCAAACCAGATGATTTCACCAATAACCGCTGCTTATCATTTGTGATTATCGCTATTAAGACTTCTGAAAAGACAGACAATCCTATTTTAATTATCTGAAGCCTTTCCACAAATTGTGTGAGTTACAGCACATGGATAGAAGAAGCCAGACCAAATGGCTTAACTGGAAAGAAATATGCAGTTTTCTGGAGTTGTGAGGTAAAGAAGTCTGCTCCTAATATATACAGTGTGTGCGTGCATGCATGTGTGAGAAAAATGAATCCTGTCTCCAGCAGCATTGGGGGGAAGTGGACCTCCCTCTCCCACCAAGGCTACTGGATGACATCATGATCAAGAAAAGAGACTGGCTACTGTTTACCCAATATTTTTGACTTCATGGAATATTTGACTTTAATCAAATATAGGTGGTGTGTTGACCAGCCAGCAGATCAGCATCCCAAACAAACACACATTTTTATGTCAACCGTGCCTAGTAAGTAGAAGTAGGTTTTTATTCTTCAAAAATCATATATACCCTTCTGTCACTTTGTATGGTTTGCACCCATGGCACTAGTTTCATTGCAGTCAAAAAACAGAAAACAGGTTTTTAGAACTGTTTCAAAGTCACTTTTCAGTGCTACTATGGAAACTACTTGTAAATGAAGGCAAGATTCACATTTCACTGCTAATACAGGAAGTACATTTAAATCAAAGAGTTTTATTAGTTTATGCTAAAAGCCTTTTCCCCACCCACCTCTAAACTGATGTGTAGCACTTGTTAAGAACCTTCAAGAGCAGCATGTAAACAGCAGTACAGGCCCCTATAACAGCTCACTACTTATTCAATAATAAGGTTGCTAACCCAATTTGAGTTCATGGAGAATGATTTCCGCGTGTGCGTGTGTGTGTACGATTCAAAACACAACACAAAGGTTGGGCACTGTGTTCCTGGTAACCAGCACACAGCAACTGCATATGAACTGTTTTCTAATGTTTTACTTTCTTCCTATTACAAATAGGAGCCTTACAGATGATCATCTTACCACACATAATCTTCACCTTGTGGGTAGCAAAATTCTCCTTACCCCTCTCTAGTGTAACACAGGTGGTCCAGATACCCTGATAAGAGAAGTCCCTCTCAGATTGGTCACCTCTGTGGGATGGACACAGAAGCACTTATCCTCATATACACAGAGTACAGCTTTGCTCATGTGGACAAGGATATGTTCCCTTACCTAGAGCATTCATGCCAATTCACTGTCTTATTTTACTGGTGGTTGCCAACATACCACCAATAAGCTAAAACTAAAGTGTATGAATTTGGAAAGAGACTTCAGATATGCAGTAGTATTACTTAATGTTCAGATTTCTGTAATGACTAAAAGGCTGACAGAACATAACTAACTTCCAAATGTTTGGTGTATTTGTTCTAAGGCACACGCAGCTCATCAGGCCTAGCCAGTGCCTCCTGTGAAGTTTGTGTGCAACCTAAAATATGCTTGAGAATGCACCAGAGCGCCTTGGCAGGCATGTTGAAGTGAAGTGTTCTCTGAAGATGAAAAGTTTCAAAGTTGCTGACTGAGGCAAGAGGTAGTTGTTTGAAAAGATGTGCTCCTTTATTGAAGCACTGTCACTTGAAAGTACCTCATTATTTCTGTTGGGCTACTGTAGGGTTAAGAGTACTCTTAGACAGCAACCATAAACAGCTCTATTATAACCAGATGCTTAAGTTCTACTTCCAGAAATAAAGCCAAATGCTAGAGATTACTGAGAAGCACACAGACGTATGAGAGTAAGAAGAAAAACTAGTACTGATAATGAAATTAGATGCTGACAAGTGCATAATCATTTGTAACCAATGTATTCCTGAAATCTGAGAAAAACATAACACTTTAGGTTTAAGTTATCTTGTGTTTATTTTACATTTCTACAGAACAGACTTAATTTAGCCTGAAGTCTCTGAACAATGCATGCTTTTCAAATTTATTTTAAATGTTGCAAAAGAAAAAGTTTATTGTTGTGATGGCATTTAATTTTGGGCTCTTTTTTGCAAACATATACCTTTATTTTGTGATCACTGCTACATTTAGCACAACAGTGGATTGCATATATAAGGGTACATATCTATAGCCAAGTTCAACGTTCAAACAATACTTGAGCGATGGAAAGTGCAAGCTTCTTCATCTACATTTTCTATTGAAAGACCTGCATGTCTGCTTGAAAAGAACTCATTCAAAATCTCACATTTATTGCTTTAGGAAATATACAGAATTCATATAGCCCTTTCTTTTACTTTTAATATAACTGAAATGCATTTATTACAGTAACATTCCTTGCCTTTATTCCTTATCAGATACTTTAGTATTAGTCAATGTATGCTATTTTTCTTCTGCCAGGACTCAAACAATATTGTGAAGAGCTTAAGAGTTGGAAGCATATCAGGATCGAACCTTTAAAAGACTATCCATTTTTGTTTATTTTCAACAAAATGGAAATTACTCAATTCCATGGTAAGGAAGCAAAAATTAAAAACTGCCATTTCTAAGTACACCTCCAGCTGCAGGATCCAACAAAGCAAGGGACAGCTCTCCTACTGGCCACTGTTTGGAGATTAGGCTGGATGCCTTCTGCAACCAGAGCATCATTCACATGCACTCTCCAAATCGACCAAAACCTAAGGGTGCATTATTTATGTTGCTTTGATGTCAATTTAAGTGTGTGTATTATGAGTATCTTCATTATGTAAAATTTGAGGCAAGACAATTAGAAAAGGCCACCACGGGGTGTGGGTGGGTGTGGCACACACACCTGTCCTTCAACAGACTGCCTCCAACTCACTGAGCCTCTTCCTCTCTCTTTTCTCTGTCCTTGTATTTTCACCTGCTACTTGCAGCAGCTGCTGCTGTTTCAGGCCTGCCTACCAGTTTTCCTCCTGATGCTATAGACTGTGCATGACCATAGTATCATAATGAAGCATGCTGGCTGGAACTGGTATGTCTGCAGCCACCACAAGCAACAAAAGCACAGTGATGTCCCTCAGATCAGGCAACAGGCTGACCAAGCCCATAATCAGACGAACACTGAACTAGCATAACTCATCTTTAGCAATGCATCAATACAAATGAGAGCTTTGGGTGGGTTCTCTTATTTCATCCTGAAATGACCCAAATCCTTTGCTGGATATCCACAGGACATCTGAAAACTAAACAGATTCTGAATGATGAGTGTACTGGGTCTCTAGGCCAGGAAACAGATATGACAAAAGTTGGGCTTTGCAGTGGCTGCCACAATATGGCCTGCAGCGTTCTTTGCTGCCTCCAACTGAGGCTCTGAATGTTGCACAGGACCAAGATGCTAGAAACCATGAGATGCATAATGCTCCTGGGTCCTATCTCGAGATCCTGCAGAGATGTGTGACAGCACTGATGGCTTCTAAACCTACTTCAATGTCATCTGGAAATCTGGGAGTTGTGCAAGAAGAACTGCATGGGGACCCATAACAGGGACTGTGACAGTACATGATACATTTCAGATTGGGCTGGATGCCAGAGAATCTGAGAGCTAATCTGATGGGACGGGAAAGAGCAGGAGACTCTAGACATCAGTTGACTGTCCCCATCCTGAATTACAGAACAAACCTCTTTGCTAGAAGAAACTAGTACTAAGAGAATGCAGAAGCTTGTATGGAAAGAAAAACAAGGTCCTCCACTTTAGATAATATGTTTGCAGCTATATGAAAGAGAATAAAATGTGAGGAATTATCAGCAGCATGAAAAAATGTAGCACGAGTTCTGGTAATTACTACTTGAACTGCTATGTTAAGTCATAAAATTTATAAAAAACCATAATGGATTTTTAATTTTTCTACTGGGTTGTCAAAAAAACTCAGAAAGAGAGCACAGAAAGGACTGAAAATGTAAAAGCCAATTCAAGCGTTCACTCTTCTGTGTACCATTAACAGGATAGTTATAAAGTGTCATCATAGCCAATTATACAGACAGTCCTAGTAAAATGGAGTTCAAAGCAGTGGGTGGTAACCAATGCTGCACTCATGCAAGGGTGCTTCTATAGGATCGGGAGCGGGGAGCAGTGTGAATGGGAAATTGAGAATTAATTGAGGGGGAGGCAGTTTGGGCTTCACTGGATACAACCCAATTGTTCTTGAATAAACGTGCACTAAACAAAAAGGTTTTTTAAACTCTAGTTTTACCTAAACAGAGCTTTCCATGAACATGTTGTATAAGACCTTTTAGAATGGCATATTTTATGAAGCACTTTAGGTCTTTATGGTTATTGTACCTATCTAATATACTTAAGTAGCATTTGTCAAAATAATGGGCACAATGAAAACAATGGTGGAAGCAGCTCTAATTTTACCTGACATACAGATAGAATAAAAAACCCTTTGGAATTTAAGACTTATGAATTCATCATCTCCTAAACTAAAACAGAACCATATGGAAGCTGTCAGTCAGAACCCTTAATTTGACAGAGCAATTTAAAAAGCATCCTGTTAATTTTTCATATAAATATTATTTTGCTAGTGACTCGAGAATATTGCCCGAACAATTTACATTTTATTACATGAGTGTAAGACCACATGCAGATTCTTTAAGGCATTGTTATGGATGGATATGTAATAAAGAAGGTCTTAAACCAGTTCTAGAATTCTCTTCTTCAGGCTTTTACTTCAAACTCTCTGCACGATTACCAGTCATCTGTTTATGGCTTCATTGTTCGTATGAACTATGCACTTTATCTCTTTGTATACAATTTATTATCACGTACCCAGGTGTCAGCTTGAATGGGTCTGATGTTGCTTAGTAACACCTCTTCATAGTTTCCATAATCACAGAACTTAACAACTGCAGTTGTCCCAGAGGAATGAAGAGCTTCAATTTCTGCTCGATAAAACTGGAAAAGACATTTAAAACAGAAGTTCACATATTTTAGTTGCAAAAGCAACAATATATTCACAAACCATGTAATAAAAACCAATCTGTAATAGGATTAGGAAAAATGTATAAGAAACAGCTGATAGTAACTTTATCCATTTTCTTTTAAAACATTCCTAGTGAAAGATTTAAATCTGCAATTTAATCAACAAATACTTTAGCTGATTAAATGACGGGACAATTTAATCAGTGAGGTGTGAGTTGGCAAACTGCATTACATACTAGAGAATAATAATTAAAAATTAAAAGATGACAAATCGCCCTAAAAATGAATGGTTGATTATATCAGTTGTAAATATTCTTCCATATCCTTGATTCTTAAAAAGGCATCTGCAGTTCAATCTTAAAGCTTTTACTAAATATGCAGATATAATCTATTGTTTAAAAATTAAAATATCCTTAAATTGCTCAAGTGCCTTACATTTTATACACTTTGTACAGAGGGAAAAACAAGGCTGCACATCTGTCTCTTTAGGATCACTTATTCAGAGAAAACTCACTCTTAAGGAGTCCCACCTTCTGTGTCACACCTATTACCCAGGATTACTTCAAGCCTACTGCTTTTAAGGAAATATCCTCTGAACACCCATTACTACAGATATGACAAAAAAATTCTTAGTTCCACACAACCCAATGGAGTGCCACCAAGGACAGGAAGCCAGGATAGAAAAACTTTACAAACCCAGGCAGCAAACTATTTACTTTTCTTATTTATTATCGTTTATTAAATTTGTATACAGCCCTATACCCATACACCTCAGGGTTCACAACACAAAACCACAATATAAAAAACACAAAATACATAATAAACAGGGATATTTTATCAACGTCCCTTTCCCCAAAACAATGGCCAGAGTTTGATAGTACAAAGGCGCCTCTTGCACTTAAAACAGAAGCAATAGAATTTGACTTGAGTAGGGCATACCTTGTTATCTTCCCAGTAAAGGGCGAAACATTCATCCCCTGGTTGCCAGCTTTTCCCATATTCTCTTGAAGTAGATGGTTCCACCATTTTTTCTGGTTTGATGGGTCCAGATCTCTTTTTGGGCCCAGTATCATAGTACATTTTTACATCAAATGCTGGGGCCATGTTGGGCGCAGGCAGTTTAATAGGTCCAACTCTCCTTCCTTTCTGAAAATGCTCCACATCGCCATTTGGTACAGAACTAAAACGATCAGTTCTAACAGGGTTTTGATAATCTATGTTCATACCAAAGTGCTGCTCATTTTTTAAGCCAGTTAAAGTTTCATTGGTTAGCATTAGTGTTTTCCTATCATAGAAATTGTCAGGATGGTGTATCTGGTTTTCCCTACTTCCCTGTTTCTGATTATTGTTGTCAGATGCCTCTTGAGCAGCAGAATTCTCTTTCATTTCCATGGGTGATGCAACTTTCCCTTGTCTGCTTTGCACTGGGATGTCCCGCTTAAAATGAAAGTCACCAGGGTGAACAGCTGTGGGATAGGCAGTATCTTTTCGAGCATAAAGTCTATCACACCGATTTCTCTCCTCAGTCCATTGTTCAGGGCCCAAAGAATTTTGTCTTTCGGAAGCTCTGGCTCTCATTGAAACGCTCCCCTCCATGCCGTGCCTCAAATTTTGACTGTCTCGCTGAAAACGAGGTGGCTTCTCGTTCCTTGGCTGCCTGGTGTCATTTCGAGGAACATGCCTTTGCTGACTGTATACTTTTATGCCATTCTGCTCAGTATTCATTGCTCTGTGCTGCCCCTGATGCTGCAGTGACATCTGTAACTTTGGCTCTGCAAAAGAAAAACAACGGTTATTAGTGACACAGCTAATCAGTATCAAACAATTTTAATTCCTAAAGACAGTTTAGATATTTGACAACCGGTATGTAATTGATCATCTGGTGTATAAATAATACATGGAGTCTAAGGTCACGTTGTCACTCTCAACCTGCATTTATTTTAGTTATATCCTGCCTCTCGGCAAAGATTCTAGGATGCCAAAATTACACATAAAAGTCAAGAATTCACGTGAAATTAAAAAGGGAGTTAAAAATAATAAAATCACAACATAATAAAACTTCATAGAACATTCTCATAGAACTATTCTATAAGGTGCAATCAAGAAGCATGTCAATAATCTATGTTAGCAAGACACATGGGAAAGTGTTCATATGGCATTAACCTGAATGACATTTTCACAAGCTACAGGAGTTAAACACTGGGGGATGAGCCACCTAAAGATAAGCACTTTGAAGCTCTTGATTTTGAAGCTGTTAATAGAGCAACCTATGGCTACCACTAATCAGCAACTGCTACCAAACCATGCTTTGAAGGGTTCATGGTTTGGGATGTTTCTTATTTTGCAGGTAACCATAGTCCACTCAACTCAAATGTCTGGCAAATCGCGTAAGGGAGAATGAAAACAATGCCTCAGAGGAAAGTATTTCATGGAATGACCACAACCTCTAAACCATGGAATGGCTGTAACTTCTTAACTCCATCAAGGAGAAAGGAAAGAGCCACAAGCCTAAAGGTAGTTTAAATCCAGGGGGCTGAGGGGTGAAATGGCCAGGAAAGAGACTATAAACAATTCACAGGCTTCATCTTGTGCAGGTCTAGCTTAAATAGTAAGCGAAGCAAACCCAATCTTTATTGTTGAGCAGAGAGTATAAAAGCAGAAGTCATAAACGTTTGCTTCTTTGTTGTGTCCAACACTTGCTTTAAATGAAAAGAATTCATATATTGGTGCACCTGGTAAGATATAAAGGTAAAGGGACCCCTGACCGTTAGGTCCAGTCGCAGACAACTCTGGGGTTGCAGCGCTCATCTCGCTGTACTGGCCGAGGGAGCCGGCGTACAGCTTCCAGGTCATGACTAAGCCGCTTCTGGCGAACCAGAGCAGCACATGGAAACGCCGTTTACTTTCTGCCGGAGTGGTACCTATTTATCTACTTGCACTTTGACGTGCTTTTGAACTGCTAGGTTGGCAGGAGCAGGGACCGAGCAACAGGAGCTCACCCCGTCGTGGGGATTCGAACTGCTGACCTTCCGATCGGCAAGCCCTAGGCTCTGTGGTTTAGACACACAAACACTATGTTAAATCCAAATATAAATCTGAAGGTGCATGCTTTGCTTTGAATAATATTAGATTTCCACCCCCCCCCCTTCTCAAATCAATTGTTTATATTGCTTAATTAATTCTGTCTGAAATTTGTGCTGGAATTCTTGAGTGTACAAGGTATCTAATTTGGTTGATCTCCCTAGCAAATTTTACTAATTCAGGCTGAGCACAGACGAAAAACATTCATTAGAACTGTTGCAGTCAGAGTCCACCTTGAGACAGGTAAGTCAGTGGACTGGTGTAATTTTGCTACCCTGTCACTTCAGACTATTTGTATCTGACAGTAATTTTGGACTTTGAAAGCCACAATCCATTAAAAAAGCATTGATTTTATTAACCATCACAGCAGATGTTTCCAACCCAATGAATTTCTGTAGCTTTCTGCAAAGGGAAAGAGGTTAGTCTGGCATGATTATTTCAAGGTCACAGATTTATGGGAACCTAAGTGAATAAAATGATTGACTGACAACTTAAAAGGGAAATGCTTGTCATCTTAAAACTACCTAGTATAAGACAAAAGCTTTCCTGTCTTGCAATTAAGGCAAAGACTGAGCCATTTTCCAAGCTATTTTCCCCAATTTCATTTTACCATAATAGCTGAAGAGATGTCTAGCTGTGTGACAAAACAGCATGTCCTGCTCTTAAGTGTCAAATTAGGTTTGTTACTACTGTCCAGCAAAAGCATATACGCCATTTGAGAGTTTGGGCTAATGGCTCACTGGAGAAGGAATAATACAAGAGGAAATGGTGGAGTTGGAGTTCCTGTCAGTTTCCTTTACGCTACGAAAATGAACTGCTGATAAGCTTCTAGGAGTGTTGGACCTGAGGCGAGCCCCGTAATTGTGCAGCAATCCCCAAGTTCTTAGCTTAAAGCAGAGATGGGGAACTCATAAGCATCATCCTGGGTCACTAGTCATGCTGGCTGGGACAGAGGGGAGTTGGAGTCCCACGTCATCTGGAGGGCCACAAGGTCCCACCATCCCTGGATTAAAGTTCTCTGCAAAATTTCCTGCAGAAGACAATTCTGTTTTTGCACCAGGTCAGTGTTGTTGCTGCTTATTAAATTTGTATACTGTCCTTCATTTATAGATCTCAGGGTGGTTCACATGTGTTGAAACCATTTGGAACTAAGCTTCCCATTTTTGGACGGGGGCGGGAAGGGGGGGTTGTGTCTGAAGGAGGAAAAAGCTGAGTTTTCCCATTAGCAAGAATTCCATCTAGCTATACAAGACATCGATAAGGATGTCAGGTATTGCCAAAGGACATTCAACAACAAATCACAGAAACTGGGAGTAACAAAACTCAAGCATAGCTCGGAGCTTCATAAATTGTGTTTTACACAACAACAAGCTTATTTCCAGGAAGGGTGCCTCAAGTAGCTGCTGAAACAACTATCTCTTTGTAAAATTTGAAAGTGGTTCCATAACAAGTAAAATCTCCTTTTACGTGTAGTCTAAATACTTCAAAATACTCCAAGTTAAACTACTTTTAAAAGGAAACCTTTCATTAAATAAAATGCTAAAGAATACTGAAAGCTTCTTCACATGCAAATAATGCAGTTCTTTTAAAAAATAATTTCTAGATGGTGCACAGGTTCTCCTCCCCCCTTAAAGTGTTTGAAACTGTAACTTCAGACACCTTTCCTTAATTTTTGCAACAATGGATTCAAAATGACTGGAAGAGATCAACAATATAGTGCATAAGATGCTCGGAATAAAACTTGTGCTGTTGTTTTTTAACTTAAAGGAAGAAATAGCTCTTAGCCCCTTGGTCTTCCAATTGCACACTACATACCAAACTTCCTCTGTTTATCCCACTATCTGGAACTATGCAACTATCACATATTAGAGTATAATTTGTAATGCAAAATATCACACCCGTTACACCAGTAACATCCCTCACAGTAGCTTCAGGTTAATGCCACGTTTACTGTTTCACTTCATACAAAATAGTTGGGGAGCCAACATATGAACCATATGAACTGACCTGGACCCTGCAGTCCTCATCTGAGGCCGTTCGTCCTGTGACTCCTCCTCAAGAGGTCCAGAGAGTGTCAACACGAGAACGGGCCTTTTCTGCAGTGGCTCCCACTTGTGGAATGCTCTCCGCAAGGAGGCTCACCTTCATTACATATCTTTAGGCACCAGGCAAAATTGTTTTTCTATAACTAGACTTTTGGCTGGTTAACATTCTTTAGTCTTTTAAACCGAGGGCGGAATACTTGTTTCTTACTATGGTATTTATTTTTGTGTTTTTATGTTGTAAACCGCCCTGTGATTTTCGGACGAAGGGTGGTATAGAAATTTAAGAAATAATAATATACAGACATTTCAGAACAACTTCAAGCTGCATATTCTTACACTGGAAAATCTCAATATTATCTGACAGCATTAAAGAAAAATCGAAAACACAAAGCAAAGGAACACAACAACATGAGCATTACAGCAACTCTCCCTACTTGTAATTCCCAGCAACCGGAATTCAGATGCATATTGCCTCCGACAGTGCAGACAGAACATAGCCAATGTGGTTTGTAGCCATTCTTAACAAGGGAAAAATATACTACATCAATTTGTCTTACCCTTTTTTAAAAAAACAAAACCATTCTAGTTGGAGGCCATTACTACTTCTGTGGGAGGCTGGCTGGAGAGGGTATTAGGCTTTAGAGCTCAACCAAAACCATCATAGAGAAACAGACATTCTGGCACCACAGAATTAAATGAGTCCAAGTGTTCTGGTATATCCTATGAGCTGAGTCCCTTTGGGCTGCCAGTAGAGTGTAAAGTACTCCAGAAGAATATCCCAGAGCCTCCTAGCCCTGAACTTTGAGCCTCTACAGTAAAGCTGGAGCAAGTCCAGTCTAAAATAAAGGAAGAGCTATTGGCTAAGCAAGTTTGGGTAGACTGTACAATGCAACCGTGGTGAAGTCTGAGCTATAACAAACACAGGCAAACCATACACAACCTGGCCATAAAGAAGTCTCCAAGATGACCAATATGCGTTTTCTAATTAGATCTTGGTTAATATTCTGGGCATGAGTGGGAAAGACAAGGCAGCATACCAAAGGTCCCACCAGGACTGGTCTTGGAGAAAAAAACATTCCAGTCTTTTCACTAGATGATCCAAGTATAAGCCAATTCATGGATAACCCATTTGCTGGGATTAAAATGTTATCTGTTCAACCAGTTGCTTTTAAAGTTTCCCTCTTTGCTGCCTTGATGGATTATACCAGAGGTTCCCAAACTTATTTGGCCTACTGCCCCCTTTTCAGAAAAAAAAAAAATACTCAGCGCCCCCCTGGAAATCCACCATCCTTAAGTGAACAAAGAGAAATATGCAGTGACAAATTTGCATCGTTTATGTATCTATATTTCTACCTCCGTCCTAAACCACAGCACGGAAAAATGTTGTAAATAAGACACCTTGAAACTCGAAATTATAAAATTATTTATTAAAATCAACCATAGTAACATTTGCATTACACACACACAAAATGAAGATAACAAAGGATAATATTAAAATAAAAATTACAAATAACATTAAAAATAGTCCTAATGAGAAGGATGAACCTAGTGCACTGCCTTCAATTTATTAATGTTCAGCTCCATGAGGTGAACTAGGCCCCAGGATTAAAAACCCATGGGCCGTACCAGAGTGAAGCTGGCTGGCTCAGTCCGATCCGCCCCAGTGGTGGGGCTGGCACCATTGCCCACCTGCCATTGGCCAAATAGGCAGGCAAGCTGCGATCCACTTCCCAAGCCTGGGTGAAGCTGAAAATGGCTCACCCAAGTCTGGGAAAAACCCTGGCCTCCAGCATGACCGCTGGAGCCAGGGGAGGTGGTGTCGCTTCCACCGCCCCCTCAGCTTTATTCAACACCCACCAATTGCACCTGGATCTTTGCAGCCTCCCCAGGGGGCGGTATCACCCATTTTGGGAAACACAGGATTAGGTCTACTGTTCTGCCACTCTGAAGAACCGTGTGGCCTCTGGGTGACGTGCAAGTGAGGAGGCATGTGGGTCTGGCGTCGTTATCCTCAACATCTGTCCTCAGTGTCGCTGGCAGTGCCAACGTAGGCTGCAGACCTCACTTCAGACCCCGCTCCAGACCCAAACCTGGACATTTCATATAAAATGCAAAAATCCGCCTGGATGGGTATGCTGGCCCCCCAAAAGAGGACATGTCCAAGAAAACTCAGACTTAAGAGGACAGCTATAAATGTTCAAGGTGATGCCTGCTCCACAATACTAGGTCTATACAGTACAGTGGTACCTTGAGTTACAAACGCCTCAGGTTACAAACGCTTCAGGTTACAAACTCCACTAACCTGCAAGAGTTACTTCAAGTTGAGAACTTTGCCCCAGGATGAGAACGGAAATCGTGTGCCGGCAGCAGCAAGAGGCCCCATTAGCGAAAGCACGTCTCTAGTTGAGAACAGTTTCAGGTTAAGAACCGACCTCCGGAATGAATTAAGTTCATAACTAGAGGTTCCACTGTACAATGGAATGCCCAGAGGTCAGGGTGGGAGGAGGATCACTCTGCAGGGGCCCTAATCACCTGAATCAACATGGTATATAGATTCTCTTTGCTCCAGCACTTTCTCCTACCCCGTCGATCAATCTTAGCCAATGGGGTGCCCTGTTTCGAACTAAAACGTCCATGAACCCCAGCCAGTGTGGCAATGGTCCGTATCCTGCTGTCAGGGAGAAGGATGCCAAGAGTCAGATTTCACTTACAGGGTGATTCAGAGTGAGACCAAGGCACGGTCCAAAGTTTGGTCAACAGGAATTCCAGTTAACAGTCTAAGATCATATACACACAGAGGCTCACAGCAAAGAGAGCAAATAAGTCAAGGAGATAAGAGTTCCAGCATCTTTCTATAAGGACTGAAGACTTATATGCAGGAGGTTTTCTAAGCCCCACCCTAGGCACAGCAGTTGGGACTTGTGAACTAGCCAAGGAGGTGGATCTACTCATATGGATGATGGATCTACTCATGGTGTCGTGCAAGAAGCTGCAAACTCCCACCCTGTCTACATACCTTCTACTGCAAGAGTACCCATTTTAGACTCCAGGAAGTCAAACAGTGTGCTTGGAGCCGATGGCCTGGCATTTCCTAGTTCTTCCTCATCTTCAGGTCGTATCCGGCCTCTGCCTTTCCCCTTCCCTAGAGATAAATCATATAACCTATTTAGTTATAGTCAAATGAACTTAGCTTGAAAAATAAAGCAATCCAAAGTATTTTAAAGTTAGGTATACAGAGAAACCTTAAAGGAATGTAGTAACTTATCAACTGGATTACCTTCCACCAATCTTGTGTTCCCCGACGTTGTTGGGAGAACAACTGCATCACCCCTAGCCAGCATGGCAAATGCTCTCCAACAACATCTGGGACACAAGGTTGGGGAAGGCTGAAATAGATGGCTGAAGACATTTTCCATATTTTTGTTGACAATATCTTACACCTACCATGTTAAGGTGTATTAAAGTAGGATATATATTTCAGAGAAAATCTTTGCACCTGGATGCAAGGTAGGTTTTCCATGCTCTGGCAAATTCCAAATACTGTAAGCAATTAGGGTTCTAATTCTACAGGGAGCTCCCACAATTCAGCATGGGTCCATTAGAAACATTCACCCTCCAAAGCAGAGAGAGGAGCTAGGTTGGGAACCAAGCTAGTTATCAAGCTCCTTTTCTCCCTCTCATCATGTGAGATGATCACCTGACTAGGGCATGCATGGCCATTAAAATGAACCCTTTACCTTATGTCCACTCAAACTTATTTATCTGAGACTTTTTAAAAAAATTAAGTATACAGCAGTCTGTAACAACACTATTCTTATTTGACCAAAACAGCAAGCTTGCCTTGCCTCTTCAATGCATGACAAAACTTTTAAAAGTCACTGAAGCTGACCACTATAGAAGGTCCAGTGGGAATTAACTGCAAATATTACAGGAAGAATCCATGAGCTAAATGGGGTGGGGTGGGGAGCCAGAATATAAAAGAAAGTGGAAGTAATAGCCAAAAACCTTCTGTAGTATCCACGTTTTGAGGTAGAATAAGACACAGAAGCTGGTAATTGAGCACATTCTACTTTTACCACATAGCAGTGATAGTAAGGAAAGTAAGGAAAGAATTGGTAAAATTAGATATGTTATTTACAAGATCCTGCCAAAGTTAAAAAGTGCGCTGATCACAGTGATGGAGTGTTCATCTCCACTGTGGATAAGAATTAACTCCTCCCTTTCTGACCCCTCTTTCCCAGTCAGTGCTACTGTAAATAAGCATATGTGAAAAATAAACCAAGTGGAAGAAATTCCAAGAGGTTCTGCTTAAACTGCTTTTTGGCATAATTCTACTAAAAACCAATCTGGACTCTTTGATCATCATGAGGCCCTTCTTCATGTGCCTCCTCCATGAGAGGTCCAAAGGGTGGCAACACAAGAACAGGCCTTTTCCGCAGTGGCTCCATTTGTGGAATGTTCTCCCCAGGGAGGTCTGTTTGGCGACCTCAACATATGTCTTTAGGTGCTGGGTGAAAGTGTTCCTCTAATCAGGCCTTGGGCTGATTAATTTTCTATGGCCCTTTAAAAGTGTTTTTGGCAGGGTGGGGGTGCTGCTCTGTTTTTGTTCTATTTATTTTGTGCTTTTATCCCGTATTTTTACCGTGTGAACCTCCCTGAGATCTTAGGATGAAGCAGAGTATATAAATTTAATGAAGAAGAAGGAGAAGAAACTTTACCCTTAAGGTTCCTAGATACGTGCACCTCTGCACACCCTTTCCTAGTTTTCCTGCTCCTGTTCACCATTCCTCTGTATCACTCCCTTCTTCCAAACAACTTTTTCCTAGTTCCTTGTGCTAAGTCATTTCCTGGGCTCATGTGCCCCCTTTGGCCTTGCTGTCTGCCATGTTCCTCTGAAGGATCTCATCAGCTCAACCCATGGTAGCCAAAGAACATTCTAACTCTCAAGACCTTGGTGACATTAAGGCAGGTTTAAAGAAGCTTTACAGCACCACAACTACAGAATCCCTTGGGGTGTTGTATTATAAATCCATTATGTACTGTGTTACAATAGCCTCATGCTCTACACATCAACAGCAATGTTAACTGGGCAGTAATTATAGTTGGTGGCTTCACAGAAAACCACCAGAAACCTTTGGTTGTAGTTCAGAAGTAATTTGTTCCTATTCAAATGCTTTTCTGTAAGAAGCAGCCTTTAAAGTTGTACCTCTAGGAGGTGGCCCTTGTACAGTCATTTGTTTATTGCTGTTCAGAAGGAAGTTCAATGAAGCTTCAAGGTTGTTGCTGTTATCCATAAGCGCTTGCCTTGCTGCTTCCTTACTGAAACCCATTTCTGTTATATGTTTGAGAGCCTTTTCATCAACCTGCAATAGAAGACATGAATAAATGTAAACCATGGATACAATGTACCCCATAAAACTGTTTACTTTTAAAGTGAATATTTATATTAAATTAAAACACAAAATAGTATTTCATGTACACACAAGACAAGACACACAGGACCACAAGACAAGTCCGTTTTGCTAAATTAAGAGTAATTTCTTACAAAGTCATAATTTCATACAAACCACAAAGGGAATATCGAAATACGCCCTTTATTTATTGCCTTTGATTAAACGTCTTTCCTGAATTATCTCCAAGGAGGGCAGGAGCAGGTAGGGGATGCCACCACCTAATTGTGATCCCTATGCCGCCCACTAATTTGGAGCTCTTCCCATTCCACTGCAGTCCATGTGCCACATTTCAGGAAGGTTCAGAAAACTGCAATGGATTGGAGTAGTCAGGAAAGCCTGGGATGAATACACTTCTATCCCCACATCATTCAATACAACCTGGTGTGTTCTGGGAATTGTGAACTGTTGCACTATGATGGAAACAGACCCGTCTTATATGCAGCAATCACACTGCAAGTATCACAGTCCTCTCACTGTCAGGGCTGCACACAGATCCAGCAGCTACTACCTGCCTTGAATGAATTCAGAAGAAGGCACTTTTCAGCCTGGCTGAGTGACCCAGTATCCATCTGGGTTCTTGCATTTGAAAGTGCTTTTCAACCAATTTCAAGAGGGATACACAAGCACAGGTAACCTCAAACATTTAAATTCCTCTTGAATAGCTAACCTCCACGCCAAACTGCTTTTGAAAGCTCATTCAGTTTCAGAAGCAGTTCGCAGTATAGCACAGGGAACTGCTGTTCAATAAAGACACAAGGTACTAGCTTTGCACATGATACTAGCTTTGCATTTCTCTGGATCCTGGCCACAGCTTGCAAGAACAGTTCAACTTGCACACTGCTGCCACAATGACTTTTAAATAATTACTAGCAAGGCTGATGCCAAACTACAGATTTGGCAAAAGAACAACATTTTAAACCAGTTTTAGTGGGGGACAGGGGGCGGGTGGGTGTGGGGGACTCCCTGGTCCTGAATGGGGCAACTGTGCCCCTGAAGGACCAGGTGTGCAGCCTGGGGGTCATTTTGGACTCACAGCCATCCATGGAGGCGCAGGTCAATTCTGTGTCCAGGGTAGCTGTCTCCCAGCTCCATCTGGTATGCAGGCTGAGACCCTACCTGCCTGCAGACTGTCTCACCAGAGTGGCACATGCTCTGGTAATCTCCCACTTGGACTACTGCAATGCGCTCTACATGGGGCTACCTTTGAATCCAGTCCAGAATGCGGCAGCTAGACTGGTGACTGGGAGCGGCCACCAAGACCATATAACACCAGTCTTGAAAGACCTACATTGGCTCCCAGTACGTTTCCAAGCACAATTCAAAGTGTTGGTGCTGACCTTTAAAGCCCTAAATGGCCTCAGCCTAGTATACCTGAAGGAGCATCTCCACCCCCATCATTCAACCTGGACACTGAGGTCCAGCACCCAGGGTCTTCTGGCGGTTTCGTCACTGCAAGAAGTGAGGTTACAGGGAACCAGGCAGAGGGCGTTCTCAGTAGTGGTACCTGCCCTGTGGAACACTCTCCCATCAAATGTCAAAGAAATAAACAACTATATGACATTTAGAAGACATCTGAAGGCAGCCCTGTTTAGGGAAATTTTAATGATTGGTGTTTTAATGTATTTTTAATCTTTTGTTAGAAGCCGCCCAGAGTGGCTGGGGAAACCCAGCCAGATGAGCGAGGTAGAAATAGATGATGATGATTGTTGTTGTTGATGATGTTGTCACTAAAATCCAGCAATATTTTCATAGTTGAAAAGCTCAACATCCATCTGTATGGGGGAGAAATCTGGATTATAAGAAACATATCTGCAAAGATGTTACCTTTCAGCCATGACAATTGGTTTTCAATTTTCTTGCAATTTAACATTTTACTTTAATCAAATATTGAGTTAGGCTGCAATCCTAAATGAAGTACCCTTCAGTAAGCTCCACAGAATGTAACACATAGGAATTGTACTGGTAGTCAAGATGTCTGCATACCTTGCACAAAAACATCCCCTCACCTCCCCCTGAACATCCTTCATATAAAATACTGATGTTTGAAGGCTTGCTGAGATTCCAGCCTTACCAGTTCTCGATAGACACCTTCATTTTTCCCCTCAGGCTTGATCTTCTCTTTTTGGAACACTTCCCTGATTCGATTCCCTCCTGTACTCACACTGAGATTGCTTCTAGTACTGCCACCTCCTCCAAACGTTTTAGTCTTTAGAGAAGAGATAAGGAAAATAATCTTTCAGTACCACCAGTACTAACTTTCTTTATATAACCACTATGGAAAGCCAGTCTGAAGATACTCATTTTTAGCATTCCTGCAAACAAAATTTTTATTTCTAGCTCCACTTCTGGTCTCTCTAGAAATCACAAAATACTGTAAAAAGATTTTAACAAGCATAATTGGGGATTATTATTACTATCAAATTTATTACCCAACCTTCACAAACAGCTCCCAGGGTAGGTTACAACAATCTAAAACTCAGAATAAGAAACACGTAAAACAGATTATAGTTACAAAAACAGAGTGGGCTATGAAAACACACATTTCAGGTGTCAAAGGCACAGAATGAAGAAGCCAGACACACCTCTGTGGGGACAGAATCCCACAACTTATATAAAAAACAACTTAAATCAGAAATTGGAAGGAAGAATATTTCATCACCGATACATTATAGAGATTACACAGGCAGTATGGTTAGGCTTTTAGTTTAAGGGACCTTTTACATTACTAAAACTGCTTGCTTTTATACATAACAAAATGTTTTGGTTCCAAAACATTCTATGTACGAAATAAACCAGTCAAAACATCTACCCTAAGTCTGACATATTTATGTGATTCAATATACATATTCATTTTAATCCTTGGCTAGTGTGATATCTGAACAATCTACTCCTCCTTTATTTCTGGTCTTTCCAAAACAAGCAAGCAAATAAACAAACAAACACTGAGATAAGTTACACTGGAACATATGTTTCCAATATCTATCTATCTATCTATCTATCTTTCTTTCTTTCTTTCTTTCTTTCTTTCTTTCTTTCTTTCATACAGTGGTACTTCGGGTTACAGACGCTTCAGGTTACAGATGCTTCGGGTTACAGACTCTACTAACCCAGAAATAGTACCTTGGGTTAAGAACTTTGCTTCAGGATGAGAACACAAATCGCGTAGCAGCAGCGGGTGGCTCCATTAGCTAAAGTGGTACCTCAGGTTAAGAACAGTTTCAGGTTAAGAATGGACCTCCAGAATGAATTAAGTTCTTAACCTGAGGTATCACTGTACTCAAATTTTCTAATTAGCTTAAATAACTATAATCAATGAATATAGAACAATGCATGCTTCTAAACTGATTGGGTGATTTTCTCTTCAGCAGTACTCCATGCCAAATTCCTTTAGAACCCCCTTTCTCCTCACTGGATAATTTATTTTGTGGGAACACAGCAAATACCTTCATATTCATTTCTCCATACAATACCAAGAAGAGAACGCACAGACATTATAGTACCTCCACAAATTACAAATTTACTGTAAATAATAATAATAATAATAATAATATACTGCAGACCCTCTTTCTAACCTCTTTGCTTTTTGCTACTTCTGCAATAGCAGCTGTTCGCTGTTTTTCAAACTCATCATTGTCCCCGGCAGGTTTCGCTGTGCTTGTCACTTGCAGAGTTTTTCTCCGATCCAGCTCCCTGCTGTCCACTTGAAGCTGAGATACACACTTCTGGAAATGTAAAAGCATATTTAAAAAGCAGCTCCATCTACCATGTATTTCATTTTTAATCAAATCACAATACAGCCACATGCCAGATTCTAGTTGTGATCTGAACTTCCCAGTCTCTACTACACAGGAAATAAAGACAGATAAATGATAAGAGAGCAATTGTGTTGCTCAAGCAGCCCAGCATGATCCCCTGTCTCTTCCTCTCCCTTAAAGGTCTTTTGGGACTGTGCAGGTTCCAAGAAGTGGACAAGAGGCTCCAGAGGAAGCCTCCCAGTCCAGCCCCACTCAGGTCTTGCTTTGATTAAAGAATCCTCTCTACTGGATAAAGAATGCTCCATTTCTATACAACCGGTTGGTACCAAATAGCGGAAATTGAAACTTTCTACCCCACAGATCAAGCTGCTTTTAGAATATAGTCTCATTGACATAGGTACGTGCACAAGAAACACTGTGTGTGTGCGTACACACACTCTAAAAACAAACCAATACTGAAGGCCCATGTACACACAGCTAAGTACAAAGCAGGGACAAAACTTAAAATGAAAAAGATATCTAACCAAACATTTAACTGCTAAATAGAAAGTATCACGTAGCTGATGTTCCTTGTGGCACTTGAAAGAATGGACTGGGAAAGCACTTGGCCGCCGCTTGAAAGTTCTCAAACATGTAGAAAAGCATTATGTTCAAACTAGTTTCTTACAGTTATATCAATTTGTAAATTAATGCTTAAATATCTTTTTCCTGCACCATATCCTGTTAAACACTAGACTCTAAAGAACACAATGCCAAAGTATTGAAATAAAAAGTCCTATATGTAGCTTTTTTAAAATAAAGTCTCTGGGTATGGGGCGGTATATATATTCAATAAATAATAAGAAATAAGAAGAAGAAATATTCTAAGATACAACAGAGTCGCTTCTGTTTCAAAGTTTAAACCTATTTTAAAAGCACGTCATACCTGCCCAAAAGGCACAAAGGGAGGAGGCCCACCTTCCGTTCCTATGTTACTTCTGTTGTGTTTCGATAAGCTCTGTGAAATTAAGCAACATTATCATTAACTGGTATTGCCACAGCAAGAGGTATGACATTCTACCTGTCATTCCCTGTTCATAGGAAGTTCTATGGATTCAAAGAAATGTAGGGTGGAAACATGCTACACAAACCACAGAACTTCGTGTTTTACACACTGTGTCTTCAACCAGCGCTAGATATCAATTTATTAGGCAGGAAAAAGACCACCTTAGAGGCTGCTCCAGAGGGACTATGCCCTCCCACACCCCAAGATCTTTTACCACGTGACCTGCCTTCTGGGAAGGATCCTGCTTAATATTTTGATAGTGTGATTGCAGTTTTATTTGCAGTTTCGTTACTCTGCAAGCTGCCTTGGAAAGATTTACATCATGAAAAGCAGGTTATACATTATTGCAATAAATACCGTATTTTTCGCTCTATAAGACGCACCAGACCACAAGACGCACCTAGTTTTTGGAGGAGGAAAACAAGAAAAAAAAAATTCTGAATCTCAGAAGCCAGAACAGCAAGAGGGATCACTGCGCAGTGAAAGGAGCAATCCCTCTTGCTGTTCTGGCTTCTGGGATAGCTGCGCAGCCTGCATTCGCTCCATAAGACGCACACACATTTCCCCTTTTTAGGAGGGGAAAAGTGAGTCTTATAGAGCAAAAAATACGGTACATATAATCAGACAAAAGCCACTATTCAAGAGATGTACAAGGAGTGTTTGCTAAGTTCTTTCTGAAGTGCCTCAGGAAGGAGACAGGTTTTCCCACAAAGTGAAGAGGCAAAAAGTAGAAAGCCTCAGCAAGGAAATCAGAGAGCTTTATGACATTCACAGTGCCACACTGACACTGGATAGAAGGCTGGCATAGAAACGGCCCACCTCCAGTGTGGAACTTTTGCCAGCCCGTTTTTCTCTGACACCTCAGAATGCTAACAAAATGCTAAATTTTCTAGGTTTAAATCAGGGATGGAGAACCCCTCGTGAGCAACCTGACAGCAGTTTAGGGCCAGAGGCAAACATGGATAGAGCCATGGATGCTCTACTTTCCTCTGTACCCTCAAACATTCTGCCCCACAGACACCATGCATCTCTCCATCCAGGCCAGCAAGAAGCATCAGCACAAGGACACATTCCAGGAGGAAAATAACTTGAGGAGAGTGTGGAGCAGGACTGGTGAAGGCTGTGGTCTGGGGGGATGGTCTTGGGGAGCCCCAGAGGCCAGGTATGGCCCCCCAAGCCTATGATTCCCCATCCCCATCTTAAATCCTGACCTTTCCATAAAAACATTTTTAATGCACATTACAATGTGACTTAATTAAATGTGCTTTGTAACACAATCACAATGCCTTCATTTTCATATACCTAATAAATAATTTGAAGTTTAACTAATATACCTGAAGGAGCGTCACCCCCATCATTCAGCCTCTGAGGGTCTTCTGCTGGTTCCCTCATTGGAGGAAGCGAAGTTACAGGGAACCAGGCAGAGGGCCTTCTCAGTAGTGGCAATCTCCCTGGGGAACACCTCAGATGTCAAGGAGATGAAGAATTACACAACTTTTAGAAGACATCTGAAAGCAGCCCTGTATCAGGAGGTTTTTAATGCTTGATATTTTTATTTTAGATATGCTGTAAGCTGCCCAGAGTGGCTGGGGGAAACCCAGCTAGATGGATGGGGTATAAATAATAATAAAATTTGTTGTTGTTGTTGTTGTTGTTATTCAGCTTAAGGTAGGAAAAACCATGTTACCTCACCCTTTGCAACTCCCACTTTTCTATAAGATGGTCCACTTCACCGCCAAGAATCACTGTGTTGCTGTCATCCAGAAGGAGGATGCCATTTTTCACTTCCACAATTCCCAGCAGTTTAATTTTCGTTCCAGGAGGAGTGTTCAGACTAAACACAAGAACAAGAGGAACTCCACAAGTATTGACGAAAGTATTATTTCAGTATTTTGTTCTGAATCACCATTACACTGAATCAGTTCTAAGTTATTTATTATGTGATACATATTAAATAATTTGGTAGTGTGAAACTACAGTGCATTCTGTTTTAATGCTAAATGGCTATGTGACTTATTTAGGTATCACTAGAAAGGACTCACTGCACTTGAAGATATCTGCATTTGAAGATGTAGTCATGAAAAAACACATGGCCCAGCACTATCACCTTATGCAGGAAGCATAGTAAGAATCCATCTCCATATTGCTTCTGGAAGCACTCACAGAAAACGTGTTTTACTGTACGTTTTTTTCCAAGTGCCTCCATTGTTCAGTGGCAAAATAGGTAAACAAAAAACACATTTCCAGTGCTGCAGCATCTATAGAACATCAATCATTACAATGGTAGTTTTCAACTGTTCATTCATCTGTCAAATTGACAGAATATATTAAGAAAATCAGCTGTCAATCACTTCAGAAACTGAGCTCCGACTAGGGATACTTAGGTGAGAACAAACCCTGTTCCTGGAAATGGAACAGCACACAAAGGAGATATGGGATTCAGACATCTGAATATGGGGCATCTCATGACTGAGACACCTTTACAGTAGCATGTGAGAATTCACAGCCTTGCTACTGGGACCTTGAGGATCCAAAGCATGCAGCCCTCCCAATGAAGCAAAGGGCTTCAGACATTGGCCAAGCAGCACAGAAAGGAGATAGAGACCCATCACATATCTGTAATCCACCAACAGCATCAAGACACCTCTAGTACAAAGTGTCATGAGAAATTCCAAATCCCTGTCAAGCATTACTGAATGAAAAAAGATGTTCATTCTACTTTCTCCATCTTCATTATAATGTTGGCTCCATACAGACCCTGTTGCATTCTGCGCTGGTCACAGATGAAGGAAGGAGCCCGACTGTGGAGTTTTGTCTTCCATATTCCTAGTCTAGCATCTTATCAGATGGGCTGGTGGTCTAGATCAGGGATAGGCAAACTCTGGCCCTCCAGATGTTTGGGAGTACAATTCCCATCATCCCTGACCCACTGGTCGTGTTAGCTAGGGATGATGGAATTTGTAGTCCCAAACATCTGGAGGGCTGGAGTTTGCCTATGCCTGGTCTAGATATTGCTCAGTCCTGACTTCCGGAGGCGGCGCCTCCGACAATGGCGGATTCCCTCTAATCTAGAGGGAGAAAGCCCACAGAAATCGGGTCCTACCGCTGCAAAGAAGAGGGGACCCTCTCGAAAACCGCAGGCGGGTGAAGCCTGCGACCGTGGTACTCGGCGGGCACCTTTTGCGCCCCCCCCCATCGGCAAAGGAACCCTGTAAAGAGCTCCGGAGCGAGACGGGGTGCTGGCGTAGTGCTGTGAGTCAATTGCTACTTCTGCGGAGCGAAGCTGCACAGCTGTTTTCGGAGAGCGCTGTCCTCTTTCCTGTGACAATTCGGCTTTTAAACAACAACCCGTGAGTAGGATAATTTAAAGATCGGGAGATCAAAGGAATTCTTCCTTTGATCAAAGGAACAATGGAACAACCCTGAATTTGGCACCGAAGCGGGAAGGTGTAAATAGGAAGTCCGCCTCCCGTTTTTTGTAAATAGACGGAAGCAAAGACTTTATAAGCTAAAAAGCCAGAAAAATTGATTTTAAGATTGAAATTTCCTGCATCTATAACTATAAAACCCCCCTTTGACAGCAGGAGAAAAGGGGGGAAGAAATTTTGACCTTTTAATCCTGCAAAGAGAGTGAAAGAACACAAGCTCCCATCGTCCCAAACCTGGGGACGGAATGTCAGGACAGAAATTGTCGGTGATGATTATTAACTGAAAACAGGGAAATTATTGACAGACAGAACTAAAAAAGAAATAAAATAATTCTACTGCTGCTCTCTGCTTGTTTGCATTATATTGAAAGGAAACAAAGAATCTGAAAATTGAAAGTAAATTTCCCTTTGTTGGATACATTTTAAAGATGGACGTTAAATAGTAACTATATCCCCTAGAGGGAGCCAGCCAGCGTGTTTGTTGTAATTTATGGAGAGGATATAACATCTGTGAAAATCAGACCGTGGGACCAGCTATTTGGCCTTGACAGAAAATGAATAGGGAGGAAGCCTTACTTGCTGCCCTTGGCAAAATAAATGCTGTGTTGCAGCAGTTGGAGGAGAAAGTGACCTTGATGAATCAAAAGTTGGATCTTACATCTGCTCCAGCTAGTAAAGATGAACTAACAGGAAACGAAGTCAAAGAAACCTCACAACAGCTAATACAGGAAACTGGTTCAACAAGGCAAGTCCAAGGGCAGAGGAAGATGGAAGAGGTTGCGATTGCACCTCAAAAGACACAGAGACTCAAAATCCCGCATGACCAAAAGCTGCAACATTGGAAGATTGAACTTGGAGAACATCTGTTAAACTTTGGAGTTAAGGAAGTCATTAGCTCTGGTGGGACTGTGAAACAAGTTGACGATCATTCTTGGAACAACTACTTTTTGGATTACAAATCAAATACTGGGGAGTGGATTTTCGGGGAATGGGACAATCTGATAAAAGAAAATGGAGAATATTTCTGTATGGAGCTCCCCGGAGATTCACTCCCCAAGGAGAAAGGGAAGGAAATATGCAAGAATCCAACAAGGGACAGAGACGCGGGCAAGTATAAACAGGAACAAGAAAACCTGCAGAGGGGGCTGAGAAGGGACTTGAGAGCCTCTGATATTAGAACACCGATTGATGGATAGAACACAATGGTGGAAGGTCTGACATTATCCGAAACCAGGAAGAAGGGACGTTGGATAAATCCAGAATGAGAATTTCTTTTTTATAAAATATTTTACTTTTGGAATTAGTGTAATACTAATGAAATACTAAAATGTGCTGGAAAGGAATTAATTGGCTTTAGCAGAAAGATTTTAAGGAGTTAAGCTTAAATATGGTTTAAATTTTAAAACTTTAAGATTTAGATGGTAAGATAAGGTTAAAGAAATTAATGGTAAATTGAACTGTAAATTTTTTAAATGGTAATGATGTTGAAATGTAACGAAACAGTTTTAGTAATAAGGCAAAATAAGAAATTGTAAGAATGGATTGATATTAGATGATAATCTGATGTGACAACATATGAGGATAAATAATTAAGGGTAAAAAAAAAGAGGGTATGAATTTGCTGAACCAACTTTTAAATGGAATACAAAAAAGGGAGGTGAGAGGAAGTCAGGAAATTAAGTAAATGAATGGTAAGAAACTGAAAAGAGGGATTTTTGTTTGTGTTTTTTTCTTTTTACTTTTTTATGTTAAATTTTGGTTTTTGTATCTTTTTTGTGTCTTTTTACTTTTTTGTATATTGTTTTGTAACCTTTTTCTGTTAAAATCTAATAAAATATCATTTAAAAAAAAAATAGATATTGCTCAGTCCTGCCCTTTGCCAACAGCTCTATTAAGACAGTTGAGGTGATGCGAATTACTTCCAGATCTCCATGAATACTACAATCATAGTTTATTAACTAACATAATATGTGACAACTTCCATCCTTAAGAAAAAGAGTGCTGAAGTAAAGTCAGCAGGCTCCTTCTGCAGAGCTGCCATTTTGTTCTAGTTCAAAAACTGCAAATGGTACAAGGGTGGTCAGAGCATGTTGCAGTAATACATTGTCTGTTTCCAGGCTCAGTTTAAAGTGTTCTATTAATCCTCAAAATGTGTAAGCAGTGTAGAACCAGGTTACCTTAAAGGACTGCCCAAGATCAGCATCTGAGAATCTAAACTCCAGCCAGTCATTAGCAAAATTTTGATCACTGGCACTGCAATCACATAATTCTGCACCTGAAGAAACTAGAGAAGGCCCCACCCCCCTTTTGGACAGATGCTGAAAATGTTTTAAAGATATTTTGTAGCCAATTTTTGCTTATGTAAAATCTTTTTTAAAAAATGCTGAGCTATTTTAAGCTGTGCTTTTTACTGTCACTCTATTTTATTTGTTTGTTTGTTTGTTTGTTTGTTTGTTTTATTTATTTATACCCCGCCCCCCCCAGCCAAGACCGGGCTCAGGGCGGCTAACATCAAGTATAAAAACAATTGATTAAAATACAACTTAAAAACAAGATTAAAATACTACTTAAAATAATAATAATCTAATAATTATTTTCTTCACAGACATTGTTTACTTAACCTTCTTTACTTTGTTTTCTTTCTAGAAACTGCTTTGAAAAAAATATTTTGACAAGCACAGGTGCAAATAAACTTTATTCTTCACTTAGGTTTTATTTAAAGGACAACTTTTTCCAGAAAGAAACATGTTTCTTTTAAAGAACTAAGATGACAAAACCAGCATTTCACATTTTCAGAAACAAAAACGTTGTCTTTGAAACTATTTAATTAAATAGTATACAATATATTCAAATATAAAATTGAAGGTTTGTCCTGTAGGATCTTGCAAAGCTGGACCGATCTTTTGGTACTGGAGTACAACTTCACACTTATTTTTGGATGCCTAACATGCTTTCATCTACAGATAATGAGAAAATGGGCACATGAGCTCTGGGAAGAAATATGGGCAATTAAAGTCAAGCCACAGTGGTTCTTGAATGGTTTTATACTAAAGTAGATCTAAAGGATACATACAACTATGAAACCAAATACTTAATCCTGGCCACCACACTACCTCCAGTGCTGTCTTGTTGCAAGATTTAAGGCAACTGTGTAGATAATATAGGATAAAACAGGAGCATACCTCCTTGACCAACATGGAAAAGGACAGAATATCTAATATGGAGGCAGTGTTCCAGTTGTACTGTGGCCTCTAAAGCTGTGGGGAGAAGTTGTGTAAAGACAACAAGTCTTATGATTAATCACAAACTAGCACTAGGGTAAATGTATCTGGGTGCAACCTTGCACAATCTTGCATATCCCTATGTAGTGTAGCTATGAATGTACACGGGGGCGGCAGCCTTCTGTTAGAGAAGCTTCAGGAATGTTGGAGGGTAGTTTTAAATTTGATGCTGGCAGGGGTGCCAACTTGTATAAAATATGGGGGGCAGGTAAGTCCCCCCTGATGCGGTGCCTGCACACTATTTGAAGGGCAATGTCCATCAACTTTGAGGGCCCCAGCACCCTCAAATATTTTATTTGGGGAAGAAGCCCCTCAGCCCCTAGAAGTTGGTTCCTACCCACAGAGAGAAAGGCTTTGTATAAAGTTAAGATATTCTTGATTTTGCTCACCAAGTAATTTCTTAGTGCACAAACTGCTCTGCAATCTCTTTATGGTTTACCATACGTGTAAAGCCAACAAGCCTTCCACATGGCTTTTCATCAAGTCACTAATTCATATGTTGTCTAATCCAGCATACCTATTATGCAATTCATTAGCATTTTTAGTAATGAAATTCCACTCATTTTATGTACACAACTGATCAGCTGGCCAGATGGCCTTTCAGCTGTTATCACCCTATGTTAAGCTCCAGCTGATTACTTGAATGGGTATCATATAGGCCAGTGTTTCCCAACCTTTTTTGGGCAAAGGCACACTTGTTTCATGAAAAAATTCTCGAGGCACTCCACCATTACAGCCCCGTGACGTCAGCGTGCAGCGTCACGCCGGGAGGGACGCACGAAAGTGTAAGTTTCAATTTTTCCCCCTCCCCCTTGCCTTCCTTCTGTGCCAACCGCCAAAAAGCCAAGAAAAAAGCCAAGACTTTAGGGCAGCAGGTCGACACGGAAGAAGCTCCTACCTAAGGACAGGTGCGACGGCCGTGTCCTCTTCTGCCACACTTGGCAGCCCTGCCTCACGGTCGTGACTCCCACCCTGATTTCTCCCCGCAGGTCGAGCGGCACAGGCAGCCCAATGTGTCCAGCCCAGACACAAGCCCCGCTTCCCCACTCTAGATCCTGAATGCGACCAAGTGCTCTGGACTCCCGAGCAGGGTGGGAAAGAGGACTTGCATCTGGTAGCCTCCGGGCTCCTCGCCTGCTCGAGGGATGGCATTGCAGGCAAGCTGCCGGCCGTCGCCATCGCCGCCCCCTCATGCGAGTGGACCTGCCCGGAGTGGTGGGCCGGGGGAGGCTCGCTCTCTGTGGGGATGTGGCCCGCACGCGCGGCCCCGCTTCCTCCTGCCCAGGGCTGAGCTCCTTACCCGCGATCTCGGTCTCGCGCACGCGGATCCCACTTATTCCGAAGCTCGCGCCACTAGCCGGGGCTCTCACACCGTGCCAGGGCGAGGCGGCGCGGCCCACTGACGTCATCGCGGCTCGCCGCCGCCCTCGACTTCCCTGTTCCCTCCCCTCCCTCGGGTCGCCGTGGTTACCGAGGACTGCAAGCTGCTCGGGCGAGCGTGGGGCATTAAGTGGGAGAAGGAAAATTAAAATTAAAACTTGCCTGAAGGCCGCCTCTCCAGATATCTTTCGAATTTTTTAATTTTTCCCGCGGCACACCAGGCAACGTCTCGCGGCACACTAGTGTGCCGCGGAACACCGGTTGGGAAACACTGATATAGGCACACAATTGCCCAAAGAATCTGAAGGACAGCTTTAACTATAGCTGTGTATAACACGTAACACCCTAAAGTTTTCTATTCAATTCATTTCTTATAAATGTTTTACTTTTACAGTGTACTTCTGTGTTTTCAGCTATTGTAAACCAAGGACCACTATGAGAGATTAGCAGTGAATTTATTCTTGGAGGCATAAACCACAAACAGAAAAAGATATGAAGGATTTCTTCGTATAGGATTATTATTTCTTCACTTCTGGAACAAACTTTTTCTCCTTCAAAAGATATTGTAAATTCAGACATATTCTATATATTGAAATGCCTTTGAGAGTTCTAAAATGTAATGTGCTTTCAGTCAATATAAAGCAAAATAAGTATTGTTTACCTTATTTTGGACATATAATTATATTCTATTGCAGTGCAGCTTGTGTGTCCATCAGTCATCTGCAAACGCAGCATTCTTGGAGCAGCCTGAGATTCTTCATTATCCTTTGGTGCAGCTATATTGCGTACTTTTTGGATTTGTAGAACACATGGACCTTCTAGCTGTGAAGACCAATGGGAAAATTACTTTAATTAGCTTTGTTCTATTTTGTGTAACTACTATAGGAAATGGTTCTGGTAGGTATTAGGTTACCTAAAAAAAAACATTTTTAATTATACTTCATTATTATTGTTGCCAGAGCACTGCCATCATTTCTATGGACACTAGGGTTGGGCAATATCTGGTTTTCAACATCGCGATATATCACCAGCTAAACACTGCAATATTTCAATATATCACAATATCTGAAATAAGGCTGGAGCTATGTAGAGGTGAACGTGGTAATGTCCTGACAACTGCTACTACTTATGAGTCTAATTCTAAAACTGATAATTTTTTACTTACCTTTAACGTATTGTTACAACTGCTATGTTATAGTGGTAGTGTACCAATAATGTTTAAATCAGCACATTTTCTCTAAAATTAAAGCTGTAGAAGTACCGTATTTTTCGCTCTGTAAGACGCACCAGACCACAAGACGCACCTAGTTTTTGGAGGAGGAAAACAAGAAGAAAAATATTCTGAATCTCAGAAGCCAAGAAGAGCAAGAGGGATTGCTGCGCAGTGAAAGCAGCAATCCCTCTTGCTCTTCTGGCTTCTGTGATAGCTGCACAACCTGCATTTGCTCCATAAGACGCACACACATTTCCCCTTATTTTTTAGGAGGGGAAAAGTGAGTCTTATAGAGCAAAAAATACGGTAATCAGTAGCATATATCAAAAGTAAGGTGAGAGAATGTTTACTAAAATTTTAATTACATTACTAAACAAGCAAAACACCAATTCAGTGTCACACTTTTAGATATTCAAGTATCCACTGAGTCTTATACATCCCACAAACCAGTTATCTGATTGATGGGTAATTTTCTTTTCTAAACCAGGCCAAACCAGAAAGAATGGCTAAAATTTTACAGAACAAAAAATGATTAAATGAAAATTTTTGCAAGGAAAATTTGCATTTCAGCATTCTCTGGCAATAGAGATGCCATTTGTCTCTGAAGAACATATGCTGAACACACTTTCAGAAGGCACACTTGTTCCTGGGATAGCCCAAAACTTCTTTGCATGCACTATCAATATTGGGAAGGATGCCTCATGTGCCGTTCACCATATCAAAGGGCATTCATCAATGTCCACTGTTGGCATAGCCATATAGTTATTTTAGCTCTTTGGTCCTCCACTTGAAATAAACATTTTTTGCCAACCCCTTTTCTATGAAGCATGGTGAGTATTTGGCTCTGTATAAGCAGCAGAGTCCCATGCAAGTCTGCCATCTTCTTTATGGCATCCTGTCTGACAGCCTCAGGAGCCTCCAAGAAATGCAGGTGGAACCATGTTCAGATATATAAAAGGATGTCACATAGAGGAGGGAGAAAGGTTGTTTTCTGCTGCTCCAGAGAAGCGGACACGGAGCAATGGATCCAAACTACAAGAAAGAAGATTCCACCTAAACATGAGGAAGAACTTCCTGACAGTAAGAGCTGTTTGACAGTGGAATTTGCTGCCAAGGAGTGTGGTGGAGTCTCCTTCTTTGGAGGTCTTCAAGCAGAGGCTTGACAACCATATGTCAGGAGTGCTCTGATGGTGTTTCCTGCTTGGCAGGGGGTTGGACTCGATGGCCTTTGTGGTCTCTTCCAACTCTATGATTCTAACCTTGGGTCACACAGAGGCTAGACCTATAATGGTTGCAGTAGGCTCACTTTCATTCTTTTCTAACTGTGCATCCAAACTTCACATTTAATATCAATGTATTAATTTGTTATTAATAACAAATGTGTGAGAAACCAAAAGGGCCAGGAGAGAATTGGGAAGAGTTCTAGGGTAGGGTATGGGATTGGAAGAGAAAATGGGGGGGGGCATAATGAGGGGGAGAGACACAGATGCAGATGGGGGAAAGGTTCAAAAGGCAGAGCAGAGTGCTTTGTTTCTTTTACTCTGAAGCAACTTGCAAGCCAACAAGCATCTCGAGAGTGTATTTCCCTCCTGCTTGGACTGGTAAGCTGGAAGACTCACAGAGTTAACATGGGGCTGGCTGCATAGGCTGGGTTAATAAGAAACCTGTGGGCTGCTTCTGCCCCAAAAGAAAGGTGCACACAACAAACACAGGGGCTCCCCCCCCTTTATTCTGAAGCAAGTTGAAAGTCAAGCGGGGGGGGCAGCCCCTGTGTTTGTTGTGTGCACCTTTCTTTTCGGGCAGAAGCAGCCCACAGGTTTCAACCTCCTTGTTGAATTTACCAAATGATTCCTTGTCTAAGCACAATTTATCTCCCTCCTCTAACAAATGGGTCCATCTAGAGGCCATCTGACCCACAAAAGTGCAGCTTATACTTTGGCACCCTGTTTTTTCAGCTTCTCACCTGATGGTTACACCCATTAAACATATACATTTAATTACAGTGGTACCTCGGGTTACATAGCTTCAGGTTGCAGACTCCACTAACCCAGAAACAGTGCTTCAGGTTAAGAACTTTGCTTCAGGATGAGAACAGAAATTGGGCTCTGGCAGTGCGGAGGCAGCAGGAGGCCCCATTAGCTAAAGTGGTGCTTCAGGTTAAGAACAGTTTCAGGTTAAGAACAGACCTCCGGAATGAATTAAGTACTTAACCCGAGCTACCACTGTACAGAGCTAAGGCTTCTGAAAAAATTCGCTTAAACACCCAGCACTAAAAAGACAAGAGAAGATCTAGTCTCACCGTCAGCATAACAATATATTAAAAAGATCCCTAATTTTGATTTGTACAACCAAACAGATATTAAAGATATTTGCAGAGAAGACCAAGACTGCTAACCTAAATTGATTTCAGCACTTAAACCTAATATTCCAACAAAATTGGAAAAAATGCTAACTGTGCATAGTTTGGATTAGCTCTAAATTCGTTCAAACCCTTCATACACTGAGAAGTATCAGATTTCCTGGCTGGATTGGAGATGGGAAGTTGGATAGATCTCCCTACGCAGGGATGCCTTGACCTTTGGGATCTGGTTCTGGGCCAGGAAGAGACTGGAGCTGTGGGGGCCTTTAACTTTGGAGGGACATTGAAGCATGCTTTGAAATTTCTTTTGGATTTTAGTGCTGACCATGGAGAATGGGCTGACCTGTCGAGAAGGGCTAAAGACATTGTTAGGTTGGAGTTTCCCCGAGATCTGCTCCCTAGTGACAAAGGAAGGAAATTAAGAATAAGATCAGCAGAAGACAAAGTAAAGTGCAGGTATAAATATGAAGAAGATCTGCAGAAGGGACATGGAAAAGAGCTAAGAGCCTCGGATAGAAGATCACCAGGTTGATGGACTAGAGGGAATTGACAGAAAGGACTGACAGAACCCGAGACCAGGAAGAAGAGACGGCGGATGAAGATTGGAAGAAAGTTTAAAAATTCATTTAAAGAAATATTGTAAAGTTAATGAGTATTAGAAAAATGTTGGAATGAAACTATTTGGCTTTAGTAGAAATGCTATAAGGAGATAAGTATAAATAAGTTTTAAGTTTTAGGGCTTTTTATGGTAAGATAAGGTTAAAATAAGTTAAGATAACTAAATGACAGAATATAGTGAAGATGGAAAGGATTTGCTGAGATAATTAATAATTAGAATACAAAAAAGGGAGGTGTGAGGAGGTCGATGAAACAAGTTAATGAAAGATAAAGATATGGGAATAGTGGATTTGTTTTTAATTTTTTTTCTTGTTTTTGTTTTTGGTGTTGATGTTTTGTGGGTTTTGTATTTTTTCTCTTTTTATTGACTTGTACTGTTTAATTACTTTTTCTCTTTTTTCTTTTCTTTTTCTGTAATTTTAAATTCTCAATAAATATCATTTTTTTAAAAAAGAGAAGTATCAGATTTCCTGTTTAAATACAATAATCATTATATTAAACACCATTTAACTCTACTCACGATAAGGCACGCTGTTACATTATCTGCCACATATGCTGAAGTTCAACATTTTTCTTCAAATTTAATGTAACACAGCCATCTTGTGGCTGAAGCTTGTATATCATGATTCTAAGTTCCATGAAACTGTACTGTTACACCCTAGTTATCGTTGTTCCGACAAGGGTGGGGATGTGTTTGGGGCTGTTTACCCCACCTGCCCGCATGTGACATCATATGTGACGTCAGGTGTGGGGCGGGTAGAGAAGTGGCTGGATTGGACACTCAATCACAGCAGGAATAAAGTTACTACCCAGCTGATAGCGAGTGAGCTCACCTTGCTGGTTTAGCTGTGCCACCAAGTTTCCTGTGGGGAACTAGATCACACAGCTGATCCATGCAGTGTCCATGCAGGATGCAGTCATCCTGGTGCCCAGGGCTTGCACAGGGCTCTCCAAGTGCCTAAAAGCTAGCTCTGTTCCCAAGCACCTGACAATCAGCTGGCTCCCAGGCACCTGAGAAAACCTTGCAAGAGACTTTGACAACCCACCTGTTAATCACCTGACACCAGTAGCCCCTGCAGGGATGATGCCCAGTAAATGGAGAAGGGAGAAGAAGAGAGACAAGTTCAGCTGGAAAAGCTGCAGGAATACAGATACTGTATGAACACAAAAGCCAGCAATTTTACCTTTTCCACCTTTCCGCCATTGATGTCACTTGGAAGGAACTTCTTCCCAATAGCTCTTAAATCTGTCTGAAGTCAAAATAGAAATTAAGTTTGAGTACTGTTTTCCAAAATAGATACCAGAAAGAAAGTAACAATTCATAAGAAATAATTTATAGTAAGAAGTAATAACAGTATTTCACAGTCACACATACTGGTAAATATACATACCCATGAACAAAGTAAATATTATCAAGCTCATGATTCTCATACACAGCTCTTAAACAAAACAGTATTTTATGCAACTTAATGCAAATCTTTAAAAAGGAATAATCCCTACTTAAGAGTCAAATAATGTTATAAAAAACTTGTTGCCTTTTTACAGAAATTACAGTTCAGACCTCTAGCGGCTATGTATGCTTGGTTCCCTCCATATTTCCTAATGGTTTCTAAGATCCAGCTGTTTTAGTCTACATTTACTTGAAGCAGGTTTTGTATGTCATATCCTTTAGCTAGCTGTTACTGATATTTTTATTTTTATTTAGAATGGGTTTTTTTTAGTTAATTGTTTTATGCACACACATACACACTATTTCATTGTTTTATGTTTTTATTGTGTAAAGCACATTGAGATGTTCACTTTTAAAAGGAAGTATACAGTATTTTAAAAAAATGAATATTACTACCCAAGACACTGCAACACTCAGATTACATTTTCTTCCTATAAACAAGCAGATGCACAACAGAATTAAATGATTTATGCTTCAAATTTTTGTTTTAACTTTGAACTAAACATTTATAGTATTGTTCCAATAGCTGACCCAACGCCAGAGACACCGCTTGTTTTTAAAAATAGAAATCATTAAATCTCTGTGGTTTAAATGTTGGTTCTTTACCTGCACACCCTTTACAATTAGGATTTACATAACCTTCATTAGTTATTTACATAACTATATTTTGTTCATCCACTGTATTAAGCAAGTTTCTAGCATGCATGGCTGCAAAAACTCCCGTGGGATCATGTAGGTGGTATTATTGAATGAAATCTAAAGCATCCTGAAAGGAAGCAGAAATGACAAAGGAGTTGTGTACATGGGTGCTAGACTATTTTCCTGCTGACTGCAGCTCCTTATGCTATCCCTCTAGAACAGATTTGCAAGATGTATGAGACACACCAGCAAAATATGGGTGAGGAAACCCAAAGGGAATACAATGAACACTATAAAAGACTAAATATATATATAAAAATTGTCCAGTAGCACCTTAGAGACCAACTAAGTTTGTTCTTGGTATAAGCTTTCATGTGCATGCACACTTCTTCAGATACTATAAAAGACTATAATTCTAAGGAGAGAAAGAAAGAAGGCATGACAGGGTCTTTAGTCTTCCATTCTGTTTCCTTAAATGTCTGCTCATAGATTCTGACTATCTGCTGGTTAATGATAACATATGCTTAGTCTATTACCTGAATATTCAACGGAGACAATACAGTACACTAGCACAATTTTTGTTGGTATAAAAACATTTGCTGTGCTGAAGAGGTAATTTTAAATAAAGGCAAGAACCAGAAAAACTATTGCTTGCCTAGTATAGAAGCATGAACAGAAGGCCACAGTTAAATTTTCAGCGAACACATAAAGTTAGTAATTGATATACTATACAGAATTATTCTTAAGAAATACGAAGAGAATTGTATGAAGCACTAACAAAACTTAGAAAAAAATGCTTATATAACACGGATGCAGTCAACACCGATAGTTCTACCTTGTTCCCTTTGGGAAGAAGCAGGAGAAATAGTGATTTCAAAGAATGAACCATATCACTATTGTTTTCTATTTAACAATATTATGGCAGAAGAAACTGCCTCCAGTTAAATCCCCAGGTACTGTAATAGGCTAAAGAATGCCTATACTTCTATAACAGCAATAGTATTTCTAACTTAATTTACCCAACATACTTAAGACCAAAACATAAAAACAAGGTAGAATATATACATAAAACGGCTTCAATCAACTTCTATTACAGATGGAAACCTGTTCTTTAAACCCAGCAAGTAAAAACAAAATTGCAAAACTGTATTTCCATAACTCAGAATGGAAATTAAATCTAGCAATTGTTATTGTGATGGGTCTATTTTATTCCTTTTAAGACAACTCAAGTCACCCACCCTAAATAATTACTAGGCAAAACTTTAATTTGTATAATACTATTCTAACCTATTTTGGGGTTTTCTAGTAATTATTTTACAATAATAGCACCTTTAAGAGCTATGGTATTTCATTTTGTATTATATCAGCCAACCCATAAGCTAATGATCACAATAAGTGACAATTAACAAGACAGTTATGAAAGTTCACATATGCTACCTACATTAAGTGCAATCAGAATAATGTCGTTTATGTTGACTTTGTCAGATGAATTTGTGCAGGCTTCAATTCCTTCATCTGACAGGTACCTATTAAAGGAAATGAAAAATGTTGATTTAGTATACGGATATCTCAAATGAAATACCTTTGAGTATTACCTTTACCTATCTCAAATGAAAACATCCCAAATCCTTAATCTATCCATGAAAACATTTTTAATGCATTTTAAGTTGTACAGCAAGTTACAATTTCACTGAAGCAATTCTGGGATGTTAAACTGTTGCACAGTAAGTCTCCAAAATACCATATGATGAGGAGAACAAAGGAGAAGAACTCTTGTCCTCCTAGTTTGCTTGTGAGCTTTTATGGAATGACTAGTTGGTCACCGATAGAAGCCTTGGGTGAGAGCCAGTGTAGCAATGTGACCTCTCTCCCTCCCACAAGCCCCACAAGTGACCTCCAAAGATCTGCTCTGGAGGCTTATGGGACTCTATGAAACAGAGTTTAATGGCCTGGGGAGGTGCTGAATGAGGGAGTAAAGGAACCAAGTCCTGTTGCACAAGCACATAGGTAAAGTAAAGGTAAAGGGACCCCTGACCATTAGGTCCAGTCGTGCCTGACTCTGGGGTTGCGGCACTCATCTCGCTTTATTGGCCAAGGGAGCCGGCGTTTGTCCGCAGACAGCTTCCAGGTCATGTGGCCAGCATGACTAAGCTGCTTCTGGTGAACCAGAGCAGCGCACGGAAACGCCGTTTACCTTCCTGCCGGAGCGGTACTTATTTATCTACTTGCACTTTGATGTGCTTTCGAACTGCTAGGTTGGCAGGAGCAGGGACCGAGCAACAGGAGCTCACCCTGTCGTGGGGATTCGAACCGCCGACCTTCTGATCGGCAAGTCCTAGGCTCTGTGGTTTAACCCACAGCGCCACGCACATAGACACATAGGCATAGACAAGCACATAGACCTCACTAAATGTTGCTCATTATGCTGGACATTGTCCTGAAATAACAAAGTCATTCTTATTTTCTAAGTAATTCAACCAAGAATTGTAGCAGCTGAAGCTAATTCCTTTGCTTTCAAAACAGCTTAGTTGTAAATAACTTTGACCTGATTGTTTCAAGAGCAACACCCTCAATTAATATGAACTTGATTATGTTTTGTAATGCAAGGTTGATGCTTTTACCTTTTTTGCCAGGTTATCAAAATATTATTTACTGAAGGTGTTCCTCAGCAAATTCTGATGCCTCAACAATACCCTTACCATTCCATATACCATATTCCCAAATACTTATTTTCAACCCCCCCCCACCCCATTTTCCTGTTTTGAAGGGGAAACAATATGGTGGATCACCATTACGATAATGGTAAAGACCAAACAGCCATGCATAAAATTCTACTGATGTAGCAGGGGTTTTCAGTTCAGCCTCTTGAACTTCCGGAAAAGACACTCCTTAAAAATCAGGAGACCCTCCATGTCATGAAGGGCTGCAGCTGGACAGGAAACATTGGGTGCTGCGCAATTATGTCTTACTCACTGTAGATGTACTGAAATTAATGGTCCTAACTTTTGGATACCACCCATTACTTGTCCATGCAAACATGAACCTATCGGGTTCACAAACACCATTGTTTGTTTTTAAACCACGCCTTTATTGAAAAAGAAACATTTTCATGCAACTTAGTCAGAAATAATAAAAAATAAAAAAATAAAGCTGAAGCCTGATAGGAAATTTGTTTTCTACATTCACACATTACACTAAATGACAGGTGAGGAAATGGATCCAGCCAACCCTCCAAGAGGGTGACTTGGCTCAAGGGAAGAATTAGAAGTGCACTCTGGATTATTTTTAATTTTTACAGTCTCAGCTTGCACCAAATCACAGATGCAAATATTCCTGCTGAAAACAGGGAAGGGATTCAATCCCAAATGCATGCTGTGCTTTGGGTGGGGATCAATTTAACTCAGAAACTCTGGAACGGAGCCAATCCCAGCAGGGCTTATAACTACAGTGGTACCTCGGGTTAAGTACTTAATTTGTTCCAGAGGTCTGTTCTTAACCTGAAACTGTTCTTAACCTGAAGCACCACTTTAGCTAATGGGGCCTCCCGCTGCCGCCACACCACTGGAACACAATTTCTGTTCTCATCCTGAAGCAAAGTTCTCATCCTGAAGCAAAGTGCTTAACCCGAGGTACTATTTTTGGGTTAGCAGAGTCTGTAACCTGAAGCGTATGTAACCTGAGGTACCACTGTACTATAGTGCTAAATTTAAAAGGTGATGAATTCAAGCTCTGCTTGCAGAAGATCATTCAGGAGAGCACTCTAAGAGTAACACTACATCCAAACCAGTAGCTGTAAAAAGAACTGCATTTCCCCCAAAGCTATCTTCACCACTCTATTGAATTCCCTGCCACACACACACCCTTTTAACCATTAAGTAGGTTCAGAAGACAATCAGAACATGGCTTGTTTGGTATACACACATGCAATAACTTCCTTCTATACGTCAAGCTATCAGTTATATAGCCACTAGACATTTAACAGCTACACAAAGGAGTAAAATACTTGATTTTGCTGCCTGCCACTGCCGAAGCAAGGGGTTGCTAAGTATCTGGCAGGCTTTAGCACATGGGAGTTGAGCAGTGTTTGGCTTAGTTGGTCACAACTTGAGCAGGCTTACCAGCTTTAGATCAGAGTTAAGTACATCCTCTACCTACAAAAATATTTATTTATTATATTTATAAAGTTAAACAACTTTAGTGCAGGGAAGTGCACTAAAAACAAAGAATGAAAATAAATATTAAAAATATGATACAAAACAATGAAAGGAGTATGAAGATTTATTTCTGGCAGATACACAATAAGGATGAATCATAATTTTGAGAACCTCAGATTAAACAACTTGTCTGTTTAATCTGAGGTTCTAACTCTTTTAATGTGGGGGAAAAGTATTTATCTGATGCTGAAAAAACTATAAAGATGGTGCCAGGTAAGCCTCTTGCCTGAATCTACTTCATAAATTGCTGTCACCAAGACAGCCCTCTTTAGATGTCACCTATCTCACTTCATCTGCTGGGGAACTTAGAGCAGGACCGTCAATAAAGATTTTAAGGAGATACACACACACGGTGAAAAAGGTATTACAAAGCCTTGGCTTTTCTGAAGCAAAGCTCTGATTTGGACCCAAGTTGAAGCAAAGCAACATAAGCTGAACCATCCGGCTTTCTAAAGCAAAATCCAAACCAATGTAATCTTTGTTGTTTTAAAAAACACACACCTCAAAGCAGTGTGCACCAATGAAAGAAAATAAAGTAAAATAATAATAAATAATAATAATAATAATACTTGCAACAATAATTCATAATGCTACTCAAAAGTATTTTTGTTAATGTTTTGAAGTAGGAACTGGACCAACACTAAAATATGGAATGATGTAATTGAGGATGTCACTGAAATACTGTAATATACTGTTTAGTAAATAATAATAATAACATACAACATGCTGTGCTTACATCTTACTTTCAACCTGGAAGCAAATTATACTTAAACAAAGCAAACAGAATTTTCTTGTCTAGGAAACATCACAATGTACAACTATGGAATCACCACTTGGTGGAACTATTGCTGCATGTCAAGTCCTTGCTCCTTAAAAAATAAACGAGCGTTTTAAAATTGGGGGAGAATGCCCAAGTATAAATAAATAGTTTTAAATTTAACACCAGTTTTATGGAGTTGCATGTTTGAGCAGAAGAGTGCAGCTAGAATATGTATTTTCGATTCCATTTCAGAAAGTCTATAATTTATGCAGGGCAAAAGCATGCAGGCCCAACTCAACAATAAGCTTCACTGAATTCTGTGGGACTTCCTCCCAAGAACAGGCACCTACAATTACAGCCTAATTGTCTTAACACATTATCCACAAAACACTCAAACCTACTTGACACAATAATTTCCTATACACTCACCAGCATTAACTAGAGCCAGGGGTAGGCAACCTAAGGCCCATGGGCCAGAAGAGGCCCACGGAGGCTGTTTAACCGGCCCAAGAGCCACCCCCAAACTGAGCTGCGCTAAACTGGCACAGCATGGCACAGGGACTCTCTTCCGCAGCTCCAGAAATTGTTTCTGTGCATGCCCAGACACCGGAAATCACTTTTGCGCATGCCCAGACACCGGAAATCACGTCTGCACATGCCCAGACACTGGAAATCACGTCTGCACATGCCCAGACACTGGAAATCGCTTCTGCGCAGGCACAATTTCCGGTGTCTGGGCATGCACAGAAGCTATTTCTGGCATCGCACTGCGCCGGCCCGGCCCATGGAGGATCTCTGTGGGAGTGATCCGGCCCATGCCTGGTAAGCCTTGCCAACCCCTGAACTAGACTATTATGTGCGGCAAGAACAGCACATAAATGCATGTTCTATGAGACTTCCATCAGGTCAAAAAGGAATAGGGGAACCAGGGAATACTTGGGTGTTAGAATAATGCATTTGTATAAAACAAAAATATAAAATATAGCACATTTTACTTTTGGGGCTTGACATCTTACAAAGGCAGCTTACAATATCATAAGAACACAATGAATACACCAACCACTGGTTGCACTGCTGTTGTGCAAAGCACTGCCTGCTCAGAGACACAAAAGCCCCTCTCAAAAGGCGTTCTGTTGGCTTTTGAAGAAGTTTCTGACAAAGACATTCACTTGATCTCACAACCAAAATCTCCTGTACTTGATATATTGTTTTAATGCTATTGTCTTATTGCTCATTTTATTTATAGGTGTTTATATATTAATGTTTTCGTAACCTGGTTTTCTATATTTTGTAAACCACTTAGAAACCTAGTTTGGCATTAAGCAGTACATAAATTAAAACAGGAAAGTTGCTAAAATTGACCTTTTAGAGCACAATTACAGCAAGGAACATTGTTCTATGTACGTTGTGGTTTATGCAAGAGATGCACTAGATGCTCACAACCTTTGTGTACAGTGGTACCTCGGGTTACATACACTTCAGTCTACATACGCTTCAGGTTACAGACTCCGCTAACCCAAAAATAGTACCTCGGGTTAAGAACTTTGCTTCA